TCACAAAATAAATTAAAATCTCAGCTGGCCTTTTAAAATATAAGTCTTAATTAGGTGCATGGTAAAAAGCTAAATCTCAGCAGGCCTTTTAAAACATATGTCTTCAATGTCTTGTAATATAGTTAAAAAGTTAAAAATTCTTTTAAAAAAATATCGTTGTTTTGTAAGTAAACAAACAATAAATTAATATCTTAGCAGGTTCTTTAATATAAAAGTCTTTAATAACTCTTGTTTACTAAATAAATAAAATATGTTTTAAAATGTTTTAAAAATACTTTGGAACTTTTGGCTCAAAGGCTAATTTTCATCTTAATATCTTTAATCTTAAGATTCTCTTTAGAGGTTCGAAAACCATAAGACCTGGCTCCACTGTACCGCCTGCCAGCTGTTCCCGGCATGACTTCGGGTTGGGATTCGGATTCGGATTCGGTTTCGACTTCGCTTACAAACCGATTGGAATTGAGTCACCCCCACGAGGAGTGCACTTCAAACGATCGACGACAGCCACAGCAACAGCCACAGCCCCATCCCATGGCATTTGGGTGGGTGATTGTGTGGCGTTGGTCATGGTTATAATTGTCCGCTCATCACTCCGCCACGAGAACCACTCCCACTCCCACTCCCTCGCCCTTTTCTACATATAACTGAAGCCACGCCCCGCATTTAGCACGCCCCAAAACGGAAGCCCCAGACACAACAAAACATTCGAATAGGCCACAAACAAACGCCGGCCACTGTTTCCAAAAGTCTCCATGTCGCCAAGTCTGCCTGCCCTAATGTTTCAATGCTCCAAAGCTACACTGGAAAAATAAAAAAGTACTCCAAAAAAAACTGAAAGTTTAATTTTTATAAGTGTGTCTTGAAAATTAACTACCGACAGTATACAAGTATAAGTATTTATTCAATACTAAATAATATAACCCCTTTAGTTTTTAGTTTCAGTTTTATAACTGTAGTCAAGGGTCTATTCGTAAACCACATTAATTTTATTTATACTTTTGTGATATTAATCATCCTAATTAGCAATTGTTCATACCCAATAGTTTAAAATTCATGTAACAATAGTTTAGTTTTTATGACAATTATTCTTTTGAGGTGTAGTAAATCCAAGTATTTTATACTTAATTTAGATATTTCTCACTTTAATTTTCAGTCATTGCGGTTTTTAATTATTTAACTGTAACTGATTTTATTATCTGAAAATGTTATTGAAGTTTAAACAATATTATACTTTAGTTTAAAGCAGTTATTTAATTTAAATATAAAATATATTTGAAATATAAAATTTTCAGTTTTACCTCCCATTTTTTTATCAGTGTACAATGCTGCCATGTCCCAATCGAAACTGCACGCATGCGCAGCCGCCCAAAAACCCAATGAACTGTAAACAAGCAGCAAAACAACGGCAATAACTAAAAAAAAGCGAACGTTCCCTTCTACGGGTCAAATTTAAACGGCAAACAGCAGTTAACCCAACTCCACAAAGTAACTTCCTGCTCCAAAAAGAATCAAATGAACATTGCAATACCCTTATTATTTTATTATTTTCTTAATATTTTTGACCCAAGTATTTACTTCAATACAGAAACATTATTTCTTAGTAAAATTCTCTGTGGAGACTGAAACCTTTTTCTTTGAATCAGGTAAAAATATCGCCTAAATGTTTTTTTTTTAATTAGCAGGAAACTTCATAAATTTATAAATTTTAGAATTCAATTACTATTGTAAAAATGTTGGTATATTGTAAGAAATATTTAATAATTATGCAGAAATAAGAAACTAAATTCTGTAAACTTTACAGGTTAACTCCCAATAATTTTCATTTTTATAGTTTATTTATAGTAGTTATTTTATAAACACACCCAATTGATTATTTGATTTTTTGAGCTTTCTTTAAGGAAAGCTAGCTTAGAAATTAGATGTACCCCATTGGAAGATCATTAAAAAGATCAACTGAAAACTTGTCAATGCCTCGACGACGGCGACGAAGTTCAATGGTGACGATTGCTGATGATAATGATACTTGATAATACTTGCTAAAGCGATAGTGAAGATTATGACGATGACGACACTGCCGCACCCCCTAAAATGCCTAAAACGAAAGAGGACTTGGACTTGGAGATAAAGCTAAAGTTGCTATTGTCGCTATTTTATAGTCCCCAGTTGTTTGGCCGATAAATTATGCTACATTTGGAATTGGGTTAAATTGTGTGACTGGGTGATGAGGGGAATTTTTAGCGGATTAGTGGCGAGTGTGTGGCGAGTATTTATGGGGCAGCTGCTGCGGCTTTAGGGCGTTGCCCTGCTCACAAAAGGGGGCGTGGCTCCAACCGAAGCAGCTAAAAAAAAAACTAAAAAAAAAACAAAAAAAAAAACCCAAGATCGCTCTGCTATTAATACCCTCTGTCCACTTTGACTATCGTATCGCATGCAGTTATTTTTATATTCTCAGGTAATATTCATCGACAAACATTTAACAAACTGGCGAAATGCTGCTTATATTTGCCTACTCTTAGTCGGCATTTGAATTTCTCATTGAGGCGCAACAGCTTTTGGAATCAGGAAATAAGGGGTTTGCGGTGGTGGGTTTGGGGTTAGCTCATCCAAACGAATGACTAACGACCAAGTGCAGATTGCCTCGGGTTTATGGATTCTAAGACTCTGAGATTCTGATCTAAGCGGAGTTGTGCAATTGCAAGTCGCTCTGGAAGACGTCATATGTGCTGCCCCAATGCGATCGTTGATTATACTTTTTCCAAAACAAGCTTGTTAACCAATATTCTTAACGTTGCAATATTCAACAGACGACAATTGGGCCTTCTTATGATTTATTTCGAATCTGCAAGAAAAAATGTATACCTAGTTTTTTATCCTAGATATTACTACATTATACGAGATAGTTAAAATGACACAAAGCTATGAATTTATTAAATACCATATATTATTAAAATACCATATTAAATGGTTCGTTTTGAAAAAGAATTTCTAAAGTCAACATTTTATTCATAGTTTTTAGTCCTAGACAAAAGCACTAAATACTGAGATACGAATATTTAACATTCCGTCAGAAAAATGTTGTAGTAACGGTTTTATTTCCGGGCTTTGGACCTTAAATAAAGTATTAAATAAGTGAACATTTTATATATAGGTTGTTATTCTAGATAACAATATTTTAGGGCAAAATTATGACACTTCTAGTAAAGGGTTCGGTAAAATAAGGTGACTCTTATAACCTTTGACCTTTTGAAATGCGATTGTAAAAGAAATGTAATGTAATTGTATTGGCATTGATCTACAGGAATGTCACATCTACCAGATGTAGTCACTAATCGCTGCCAATTGATATTTCCTCTCAAAACCAGCTTCGAACCATAGCGATAACTCCCACGGCTCATTTGCTGAGTGCTGCCGAGTATTGCTGTGTATTTCATTGTGTTGAGGGGAGCCAGCCAATGAAGCGCAACAATTTGGCTAATTGAAATGCAATTAAATGGCTCAATCGGAACCAGAATCGGAATCGGAATCTCTGGTGGCCGCAGAGTTGCAGACTAATCGACAATTTGAGAGGTTAATCTGTCGACGTCATTTTCCACTTTGTTGCCGCCGAGAGATTGGGATTAGGATTAAGGTCACCACCACCACCACCACCATCACCATCACACTGCTGCATGTTAGTGCAGTTCCTTAAACTTTTGTGGTCGACGCGCCGAGCGATAAATGTATTTTGGAAGAAACACGGCCAATTAGACAATAAGCAATGAGATTAGAAGCCAAGTGCCAGCCTTGCCAAGTTAGTTAGTGTTTGGCGTTTTGGAAAATTAGCCAACAACCTTCGACACGGTTTTCAAAAGCAATTAAGCCCACTGGCACACTCATATGCGATACGCTATATATGCTATATGCTAGATGCGATATGCGATATGCGGAGCACTCAAGCAGGACCGCCGCCAAAATCGATCGAAGTTGGCTTCACACAGCACTGGCTTAAAACCAAAGCCAAAAGCTTAGCCCAAACCAAACTGAACTGTTTGGAGGCAAGTAAATGACGCAGCAATGCAATTTCAGGCCAGGTGGATTCGGCCTGGGCACTTGGAGCATTGGGACCTTCGTCAAGTGCAGGTGGAGCTACCAACTGGCGGCCACCGGTGCGTCATGTGAGTGTGGAACTATTTCGAGGGGTTCAATAGCACCAAAGCACCATAGCACCATCGCACCATCGCCATGGCAGTTCCGAGGGTTTCCAGCTGTCTGGCCGGTGCAACAATCAGTGTATCACGCTTTGCACGCAAGCAAAAGGTTGAATTCAAGGAAATAATTTAATTTTGAATATTAAAAACATATGATTTACTTGTAGACAATCCAGAAACTTGATCGCATTTAAATTGGTATTTGTTTAATACATCTCAAAAAAGTTTTTAATGATCCTAAGTATATTTTGAATATTAAAACATACTACTTTGTTTAAATGTCTTTAAGGGCAACTTTGAAACTCGGTTGTCACCAACTCCACCGCATATATTTATTTATTTATTTATACAATGCTAACTAATAGTTAAAACTAGGAGCTAACAAAAATTGTGGTTAGAGCTATAGCTGCAAGAGGCCTTCAGCTCTGAGGGACTCCACCGCAAATAACATGTGTATATTATATATAAATTAATTAATTGGCAAATGTATTAAAGGACAACCCAGAAACTTGGGATTTCCCCACTCTATCGCATTAAATATATATTTATTAAATATCAAAAGAGATCTAATGATTCCAAATTGAATTTTAAACATAAAAAACATTATTTTGGGTAAGTGTATTTAAGAACAGTCCAGTAACTTGCGTGTTCCTAACTCTATCGCTCTATGTTTTAATATATACCAAAATGTAATACAACATTTGTAAAGACTTTAGAAACAAACTTTAAGCCATCTTATAAGCAGTCAAACATCGGTTCATATAAGATTGAAATAATTCTAGGCAAGTAAAGAAAGAAAATTAGGACACTCACCTAAGCAAAATGGTCAGTTGTAGGTCATGGCCCAATCTCTCGAGGGCGGGAACGCCCTCCACCCGCAGGATATTGATTTTCTCACGAAGCGGGCGGGACATGGTGTGCTGGCCTTGGCGCTCTCGCAGGATCTCCAGGATATTCGGCTGGCGAAGGAAGGCGATGACCTTAAATATATGACAGAGATTCAATTGAATGACACAAACAGTTAATGATTTCAAATAAATAAAGCCATAAAATAATGATAAAACCATTATTAAAACAAAATGGCAACAACATTTTAAAACAGCAAAAGCATTAGCTCTCAAAAAGTTGAATCGTTTTAGTTTGGCAGAGTGCTGGCAGAGTTGAAATTCAGTAACATCCATAAACTTACCTTTTCGTTGTAGGCAATGGGCACATCTTCGTATCCGGCTGCTGTGGCCCCCACTCCAGCCATTCCCGCCATTCCTGACATTCCGGCGGCCCCGCCCGCTGCTCCGCCCAAGCTAAAAGCACAGGCGATGGCCGCCGCCGTGGTGCAGTTGTGGCCATGGCCATGTCCATGTCCATGGCTCCCTCTGGACGTGGAAGAAGTGGCCGACGATGAGGGCCTGGGTGGCGGCAAAGGCGGCACTCCGGACACCGAGGATCCGGGACTGGCATTTATGTGCCCACTGGTGGCCGACAGGCAGTTGCCATCCACCAGATCGGGGTAGTAGTAGCCCACACCTGGCTGCTGCTGCTGTTGCTGTTGCTGCTGCTGCTGGCGATGGCGCACCACACGCGGACACTCCACGGGCAGGCGGGGATCCATGAAGGAGGTGCGCCGGTGCTGGTGGTCGATGAAGAACTGCTTGCCGGACTGGTCCAGCTTCGTCTCCCAGCAGGAGGGCAGTTCGCGGGCCATCTGGGCGAAGGTGTTGACCAGAGCCACCAGGTCCTTGTTGTACTGGTACCGCTGAAAGCACTGCGGATCGCGTCGGATGCGCATCACCATGTGCTTGAGGGCGGCATTCCGGTTGTAGATGGCCAGCGCTGCCTCGTTGGTGTGCAGCAGGGAGTAGAAATCGGGGCGGCAGAGCATCAGGATGGCCGGATGGATGGCCTGGGCGGGATTGGGCGGTGGCGGAGGAGCAACAGCAGCAGCCACAGCCGGAGCAGCATTACTAGTGTTATTCGCAGCCGAGGCTGGCAGATTATAAAGCTGCGCTGCCCTGCTCTCATTGGTAATGGTGCGACGGATGCTCTGGTAGCGCCTGTCCAGCTGCTGGCGATGATGCTGCTCCCTGCCCGCCGGTCCGCCGCTGGGCGCCGCACCACCCGGTCGCTGCCACGAGGTCGTGCGCGTGGTGTGGTCAATGTAGAAGATGCGCCCGTGGCTGTCCATGCGCGCCTCCCAAGCGGGCGGCAGTGGCGGCTCTGCCGCGGCTCCGCCACTGCTTCCGGAAACGGTGCCCGGTTCGATTAGAGCTGCTCCAGAGCTAGCTGCTGCTGCTGCCGCCGCCGCAGCCGCCGCTGCTGCTGCACTGCGTTCGGGTATGGAAGGCAAACGGGTGCTGCTTATGTGCACTACCTCGTCGGGAGGCTCCAGCACCTGATGGGCAGCCTGCTCCTGGCTGCTTCCACCATCCTGCAGGTAAATGTAATCCAATTGACTAGAGGCGGCTGCTGCTGCTGCTGGGACATCCATGGCCAGGCTGGAGTTGGCAGTGACGGCCTGGAGGCGGGCATGCCGACGGGCATGGTGAGTGGGCGTGGGCGGACATACTAAGGGTGCACCAGCTCCAGCTCCAGCTCCGGCTCCTCCGCCCACGCGCTTGAGCAGCCGCTGCTGAGGTCGCTGGCCATGGAATGTTGGAGTTCCGGGCGCCGCTGGCATGGCCACATCCTGAAGTGCTGCCCCTCCGCCCACTCCCCTGCCCCTGGTGGGCGAATGCTGCTCGGGACTCAGGCTGAGATCCAGCGGCGAGGCACTGCGCGTGGAGCAGCCCGAGGGCGGACTGCGCTGCCTTTTCGGGGAGAGCAGGAGACGTGGTGAGGCTGCGGCTGCGGCTGCCTGCTCCTCCGATGATGTGGCCTTGCCATTGGAAAGGGCACGGGTGAGTGGACGGTGCTGGCGTAGATACGGAAACTGCAGACTGTTGGGCGAGGAGGAGGCCACCGCCGAGGAGCTGCTGGGAAAGGTGGGGAACTCATAGCTCTGGTTAACCGGCACCGGAACCGGCACCTTTTGCGTGCTAATGGTATTGATATAGCTATCCGGCCCGATCTTCTTCTTGAGCAGCGGCTTGAAGCGCACGGGTGGCGTGTTTAGGGGTGAGTTGTTGGAACTGTTGCCACTGCCCGGCTGGGCCAACTCCAGCTCGGCCAGGCCACGCTCGTCCGTGTCCAGGATGTCGAACTGGAAGACATCGCCCTGAAGCTTGAGCTCCCGATTGATTGCGCGCGGCGGCCAAGAGCGTTCCAGCGGTCGATGCTGTGGCGGCGAAGGCTGTCGCAGATGGTGATGCTGCTTCTGCTGCTGACGGCGCTGCACATGGGCACTGGCCTGGAGGGCAGCGGCCGCCCCCAGCAGACTCTCCACGGCAGCCGCCTCCTCGTCCTCGTCCTCCTCCTCCTCCTGCTGCTCATGGAGCTCTTCATCCACCTCGGCCATGCTGAGTGTGTCCACCATCTCGGCGGGCACCGTTTCAAAGCATTCACGTGCCACCCACAGATTAAAGCCGTCGCCATTTGTAGTGGTGTTGATTGTTATGGCTGCCTTTGTCTTCTTTTTGGCGCCGCTGAGGGGCGTGGAGCCGCCACTTTGCGGCGAGAGTGTCCAGGACTTGCGGCGGGCGCCGCCGCCCACGCTGCTGCCGCCATCGCTGCCGATGCTGCCATTGTAGGAATTGGTGGGCGAGAGCGTGGCATTCTGGGCTGGCGTCTCGCAGGATTTGGTGGAGAGCAGGGTCTGGTGGCGGGGTTCCTTGCGTTCCGGCGGTGGCTCCTCTTTGGGCGCTGTAAGTGGGGGTTGATTAGGTGATGAAGTTTTATGGGTCTTCGGCTTAACTTACATGCCAAAGCGCAGGCACCTAACTGCTGATCCTGCTCCTGCTGCTCCTGCTGCTCCTCCGCCACGCTGACACTCACCTGCACATCGTTGGCCAGTTGCAGGGCACTCTGGAAGGCCTGCTCCAGTTCGTCGCTTTCGTTGCCATTGCGCGAGTCGTAGAAGGCCTCCTCCTCTTTAGGATCATCATCCTCCTCCTCCTCTTCCTCCTCGTCGTCGTCCTCCGCCTCCTGCGACCTGACTGCTATGGGATCCACTTGATTCCTGTCCGTTGCCACAGGCTTTAGGGCCACTAGTGGAGCAGCTCCAGCATTGGATGACTCCATTTCGTCGTTTGTCCCAGGAATGTCCCAAGATGTGCTCTTCTTCTTCCTCCTCCGTTTTGGCGTCCCCACCTCTCTTCCTCTTCCACTGCCACTGCTGCCACTGCCACCCTGCCTCCCCGCGCCCTGCCCAGGGTTAACAGTTACAGTTACAGCTGCAGTTGCTCTACTTTGGCTTTGCGACTGATTTTGCTGCCTTGTTTGGCCCTTTGGCGCATTTGGCGGCCGCCTGTTGCCATTAGTGCTGCTCTACTCACTGCCAGCCACTGCCGGGGCGCTCGCTTTAGTTTATAAATTGTCAATTAAAAAATTTGTTGCTAAAAATATTTCGGGGGGGGGCCAGCCAGTGTGACCGCTTAGCGTATGTTGTAATTCGCCTGCCTGCCTGCCTGCCTGCCAGAGCTGCCACCCCGTGTCGTTGCACTGCCAACCATCTGGCCAACCTGGCTGTAAACTTTTTACTTTTTTGTGGCGCTTTACGGCACATTTGTATTTTGGGTTTGGTTTGCCGCCGTCGCCGCTGCTTGTTATAAACCCCAAAGATAATTAGCAAGCTACGTAAACTGCAACAGCATGGCCGCTGCAAGTGGAGAACTGTCCAAGAAGTAAGTGATTATACGTAAACACACAACCAGCAGCCAACGAAGCAGCAGCCCCTTTGAGGTTAAGGCGAAGCGGCAACGTTCCAGTTCTATTTTTTGCATTTGGCTGCTGATGAAATACAAAGCCTAAAATATATACAAAAAATGCTAGCCCGCTGCGCCCTGCGGACATGGTGCACATCGAGATCGAGCAGGCTGTGGTCACAGCAGGCCCGCGCTTTCCACGTGAGCCCCTGCCAATGGGAACCCAGCAAGCAGACCAAACTGTGCGTTGTGTTACTCATACGCCTCGTTGGCCAGGCTTTTATAATCACATCGTATCATATTGAATTTAACCCTTATCCTTGCCTTCCAGTGAGCTGAAACGCCGCCTGAAGGCCGAGCAAAAGGCCAAGGAGAAGGCCGAAAAGGCAGCCGCTGCTGCTCCGGCGGAGGGAGCACCCAAAAAGAAGGCCGAGAAGGAGGAGGAGGAGATCTCGCCCAACGAGTACTTCAAACTCAGATCCGCTGCTGTCCAGGAGCTGAAGCGTTCGCCCAGCACCGATCCCTATCCACACAAGTTCCATGTGAGCAGCTCGCTGGAGGACTTCATTGCCAAGTACGAGGGCAGCTTAAAAGAGGGCGAAACGCTGGAGAATGTCAGCCTGAGCGTGGCCGGGCGTGTCCATGCCATCCGCGAGTCGGGGGCCAAGCTCATCTTCTACGATCTGCGCGGCGAGGGCGTCAAGGTGCAGGTGATGGCCAGCGCCAGGTCCTACAAGTCGGAGGCCGCATTCGAGACGGACACGGCCAAGCTTCGGCGCGGCGATATCATCGGCGTCGTCGGACATCCCGGCAAGACCAAGAAGGGCGAGCTGTCCGTGATGCCCACCGAGATCCAGCTGCTCTCGCCGTGCCTGCACATGCTGCCCCATCTGCATTTCGGGCTGAAGGACAAGGAGACGCGTTATCGCCAGCGCTACCTGGATCTCATACTCAACAACAAAGTGCGCGAGAACTTCCAAATTCGTGCCAAGGTGAGCTGAATGATTCCAGAGTATAAAACAATCACTCATCCAACTTCAACTTTCCCCAACCCCAGATCATCTCGTATGTACGCCAGTTCTTGGATCGCCTGGGCTTCCTCGAGATCGAGACGCCCATGATGAACATGATTGCGGGCGGGGCCACGGCCAAGCCCTTTGTGACGCATCACAACGACCTGAAGATGGACCTGTTCATGCGCATCGCTCCGGAGCTGTACCACAAGATGCTGGTGGTGGGCGGCCTCGATCGCGTCTACGAAATAGGACGGCAGTTCCGCAACGAGGGCATCGACCTCACGCACAATCCGGAGTTTACCACGTGCGAGTTTTACATGGCCTATGCGGACTATGCCGACGTGATGGACATCACAGAGCAAATGGTCTCGGGCATGGTGAAGGCCATTCGTGGCTCCTACAAGGTCATCTATCACCCGGAGGGTCCGGAGGGACCGGAGCAGGAACTTGACTTTACGCCACCCTTCAAGCGAGTGTCCATGATCAAAACGCTGGAGGAGAAGCTGCAGGTGAAGTTCCCGGCTGCGGACACATTCAGCACGCCCGAAACGAATCAGTTCCTGTCGCAGCTGTGCACCAAGCACCAGGTGGAGTGCCCCGCCCCGCGCACCACTGCCCGCCTGCTGGACAAACTGGTGGGCGAGTTCATCGAGGAGTTCTGCGTGAACCCCACGTTCATCTGCGAGCATCCGCAGATCATGTCCCCGCTGGCCAAGTACCATCGCAGCACGCCCGGACTGACGGAGCGCTTCGAGCTGTTCGTGGCCAAGAAGGAGATCTGCAACGCCTACACCGAGCTGAACGATCCCGTGGTGCAGCGCGAGCGCTTCGAGCAGCAGGCCAGCGACAAGGCGGCCGGCGACGATGAGGCCCAAATGGTCGACGAGAACTTCTGCACGGCGTTGGAGTACGGATTGCCGCCCACCGGTGGCTTCGGCATGGGCATCGATCGTCTGGCCATGTTCCTCACCGACTCCAATAACATCAAGGTGCGTCTTTGCTTTATCATTCTTTTTTTTCTTTAGAATCTTTACATATACTCTCGTTCCTCTTCTTTTATAGGAGGTTCTTCTGTTCCCCGCCATGAAACCGGAGGAGGCCAATCGCACGGCAGCCGAAACTGCCACTGCCACTGCCACACAGCAGTAGAACTCCAATTCACCCAACCCCCATCCTTGTATGTTACGCTGGTCCCGGGCTGGTAGTCCCAGTTGCTAATTTATTCAACGAATAAACCTTTTCTTTTCCAATATCCAACGCGTGTTTTGTTCATTCCCGAAATTTCTAAGTTACATGGCTTGTCACTTTTAAAACCAATATCTAAGTGGAGTACATAAAAATGTTTGGGATTTAATTTTATAATCATTTGCATACGAATTTTAATAGCCTGCAAAAAGTTTACTCGGAAACTGCTTTCCATTAGTGGCTTTTTTTCTAATAATAAACAGCACAGTTTTTCTTTTGATGATGATCCACTTTTTGATCCATTTTAATGTGAAATATTTCAAAGCTTACAATGACTTGCAGTAAGGTGTTCCAAAACTTTACTTTTATAGCCCATAACTTGGTTAATTTAATCTGCTTTATATATTTCATATTAATGATAGTCAGTTTCTAGTCAACTATCTTGTTCAGTTGAATCCCGATTTTGAAGTGGCATACATTTAAATATTTTTAGCTAGATTTAGATTTTTTGGCACCCTTTAAAATCCAAAAATGTTAACATCAAGTTAAATAAATATTAAGAGCCAAGTTCGCCACCTTGGATCGAGTCGCCGCTATGTGATAGACATTTTTCAGTTGTCATGCCTTGGTCACACTGGCAGGAAAAGCGGATTCTTGCCAAATGAAAACATTGCTGGCCAAATCGCGCAAATTGTCAATTAATCGGTAATAAAAACAATGGGGGACCAACAGCAGCTGATCCTGGCCACCGGAGGCTACGATCACACGATAAAGGTGTGGCAGGCGCACACGGGGAACTGCATCAAAACGATGAGATTCGTTGAGACCTCGGTGAGAATAGTGCGATTGCGGCATACAGCTGCGGTCAAAATAATAGCAGTGGCACAATATAAAGTGCTCAACAAACATACCTCTTAGGCAGAGGTCAATTTTTATTTTTATTTCTCACAATGTTTACTCAACAAGAAATACAACGAGGTTAAAAGAAACTTTTAGTTTGTTACGGAAAAATTCACATTTCAATATACCGAAGTATACAACAATTCAAGAAATCGTTCAACTGAATTTTATATTGAAATGATTTTAATATTTTATCTATATTTTAAATTAAAAAAAAAAGTATTTGTTTCATAAAACTATTTTAAAAATATTATACATAATATAGAAATTTGCTTATGAAGTTCATAGTATAAGCTTCACGAAAATCTAAATAAAAAATTTTAGAAGTTTCTTTCAAACCATTTTTGATAGCTATTTGCATAAGCTAAAAAACTGCTATTACTTTGAACGCAACTGTATGTTAGCCATATGGAAGTCACGTACCTGGATAACCATGATTCCTCTTACATCCCAACATATAGCAAGTGAATGCGCTGGACAGGACGCCGGACAAGACGCGTCTGGCGGCATGTGGCTACCAGTGCATCCGGCTGTATGACCTGGAGTCCAACTGCACCGCACCGGTGATCAATTTCGATGGCGTGCAGAAGAATGTGACGCGACTGGGCTTCCAGGAGGATGGCAACTGGATGTTCACCGCCGGCGAGGATCACCATGTGCGCATCTGGGACATGATCTCCGCACCGCCGCACTGCTCGCGAGTGTTCGACTGCGAGGCGCCGGTGAATGCCGCCTGTTTGCATCCCAATCAGGTGGAGATTGCCATGGGCTCACAGAACGGCAGCGTCTTCCTGTGGGACGTCAAGTCGGAGCGGCACGAGCGGATTGTGCCCGAGGTGGACGCCTCCATACAGGATGTGGCCATATCGCCGGACGGCCGCTACCTGGCGGCGGTCAACAACAAGGGCAACTGCTACATCTGGTCGCTGACCAGCCAGGACCAGAAGATGAGCACGCTGCGGCCCTCGAAGAAGATCCAAGCGCACAGCCGCTACATCCTGCGCTGCAAGTTCAGTCCGGACTCGAGGCTGCTGCTCACCACCTCGGGCGACGGAACGGTGGGCATTTGGAAGACCGATGACTTCACCAAATGGCGCGAACTCTGCATCGAGAACTACTGGGTCTGGGATGCCGCCTTCAGCGCTGACTCCAAGTGGCTCTTCACCGCCTCCTCCGACGGCATTGCGCGTCTCTGGAAGCTGGCCACAAAGAGCCCGATCAGGGAGTACACCGGCCACACCAAGGCCATCACTGCCCTGTCCTTCAAGGACGAGATTGTGGGCAAATAGTAATAGTGGTAGTTGTAGAGCTAGCCGCTAGAATCTAGCAACTAGGATCTAGGATCTAGGCAATTTGTAAGCTTTGTGAGAGTCCTGCCAAGTTGATTGTCTCCAGGTTGGGCCCTGATTTCCCTTTTCTCAGCAACGCTTGTTGAAGATTTGCCATTTAAGTTTAGTTTTGCTTTAAAAACTGTTTGAGCTCAATTCTAAATTCACTAATTTCATAATGGTTAAATACAACATAGCAAAAACTGTTAAAGATTTGCTATTTTTGTACCGAACTTCAATTTAGTTTCGGTTTAAAAAGAAGCTTGTAAACTAATTAAACTTGAAGATTTGACATTTGACTACCAAATTCCTATTAAATTTAAATTAACATTCACTATGCTCAAGTAAACATTACTAAAATGTGTACAATTTTTAATTTAAACAAGCTTTCTTTTGAAGAGCTTGGATTCATTTAAATAAGTAGGTACGCAATGTTATATTGTTCTTCTAATTCCTATTTCTTTAATCAAACTGCCAGCAATGCTCATAAAATCCCTGGTTTCCCTTTAAAAGAAACCCTTTAAATCAGGAAGTGACTCGGATATTCAGTCGTTAATGGATTATATATAAAACAATAACCAACCAAGCGAGACAATCATTGAAAGGCACTAGACTCTATGGCAAATAATTTGGCAATTTTCGGAGGCAGTTAAATTTAGGGACGAACGTAGTGATGAAGTGATGACGCCACATACGCAACACACACCAAAACCAGAACTGAAGCATCATCCAAACAACAACAACAACAGCAGAGAAACGAGAAAATACCTCTGAAAATGAGCGCTTGGCTTTTGTAGCGACTTTTTCATAATTTAAATATATAAACCTTTGATACATAATTATATTACGACTAAATCGTGTGTGTGTGTGTGTTTGTGTGTGTATGCAAAATGCAATTTGAATAAATACCTTAAGGGCCCATAAATATATTATACATACAATACGCAAAACAAGGAAATCAATACTATCTTTTAAATAAGGAAAACCAGAATGGAAAGGAACAACATTTACGATTTTGGGGAAATTGACTTTTTTCGTTTGGTTGTCTTTGTTTTCTTTTTTTTTTTTTGATGGGTTCAATCCACATAATCGATGCCCTGGGCCACAATGGATTCCTTGATGGGATCTGGATCGTCACCCAGCTTGTAGCCCACGATGCAGGTGACGTCCACGGCCTTGCCCGTGGGATTGAGGAGGAGCATCACCTGGTTGATGGGCGTGGCCGGGCGGAAGGGCTTGTGGGGCGGCATTTGGCTGTCCGTCGGCGGCAGCAGGCGCACCTTGCAGGGCTACAAAAAAACGAATTAAGTAGCTGATTGTGCTTATTATACGCTTGCAGAGTGTATTAAAGTATATATATTCTTGATCAGCATCAAATTAAATAATTCAGAATTAAGGTTTAAATTTCATCAAAAAATTTCTGCCATAAATAAAATAAAAAAATTAAAAAAAAATTTGTTTTTTAAATGTAACTTTTCTATTTTGTAATATTTTGTAAAAATTTTTTTTACTGTTTAATAATTTGACAGTTCAGAATAACGATTTTAATTCTTTTTAAATCGGAAAACGACATCATATAGCTGTCATAGGAACTATCGAATAATGGAGCTTTAATGCTTTTAAACATATACACAAGTCAATCATAATTTTAATTTCAAGAATATATAATTAATTTTCGCAATAGCTGCAAGGGTATATGAACTTCGGCTAGCCGAAGTTTGCCTCCTTACTTGTTACTTGTGTTAAGTTATTTTTGGTGAACCCACCTTTTTTACGCTGGCCTCGAACTGAAAGTCGTGCACTGGCTGGCGACTCTTGTTCTGGGCAGATATCACAATCACCGACACACGATGGCCGGGCCGCTCGCTGGTGAAGTTCAGACTTAGCTGCATGTCGTCGTCGTCGAGAACGATGCGCTGCTCGCCGGTGGCCTGGATGTTGTCCAGCTCCACGTGGATCTCGCTCAGTGGCTTTACAACTACTGGATTAGCGGGGGTAACAACTGGTACTACCGCCACCACGGGTGGTTCCTCCCTTTTTTCCACATCCTCACTGAGCAGCGAGCAGTCATCATCTAGGGCATCAGCGGGAGCAGCAGCAGGAGCACCCGTTTCCTCTTCCGGCACCCTCACCTGCATCCTTTCCCTGACCAAATCGTTAAGTGTTAGCTTCTCGGGATCACGCTTAAAGCTGGCCATCCGCTCCTGGCTGGGCAGAATCTGCTGGAAGAGCTCCTCGCTGAGCATATCGATCTGCGGCATCTTTCGGGCCGTTCCTGGTATTTTGCTGAAGTCGCTACCGTTGCCATTGCCATTGGCATTGCCATTGGCCAATTCCTCTGATGTGCTGATGCCTTGGTTCAGGACCTGCGGCTCTAGTAAAGTGATGGCATTCTGGAATGGTTGCTGTTGCTGCTGCTGCTGCTGGGCCGCCTCACTCTCGGCCAAAGCGCTGCTGAAGATGTCACTCAAATCGGCCAGGGGATCGGCAGTGTTTGTGGCTGTGGCTGAATTGGAATTACTGCTGGGCTTGGCTTTGGTTGCACTCTCACTGCTGCCGCCCCCGCTGATCAGCAAATCGCCAAGCAGCTCGTTTAGCAGCAGAGCATTTGTGGAGCTGGTCGTTGCTGTTGCCTTTCCCTTGGCAGCGCTGGATGTTGCGGATGCTGAAGTGCTGGTGGTCAAGGCAGGAGCAGTGCTCTTCGTGGGCGAGGGCACCAGAAGCTTGTAGCGCTGCATGGTGGTCAGCAGGGCACCATTCGCATCCAGGGTGTCGGCTGGGAATCGAGTTTGAAATGGATTAGTAAGAAGGATTATCCAAGAGTGACTCTCATAAATCATAGTCTAAATCTAATTAATCTTGTTTAAACAAGCAGGTTTAATTCACATGTTTTTAAAACCAGAGTTAATCCAAAGCTCAAAGTGTTTTCTGCATTATATATAAGTATCCGAAAGCTATTCTACCTATCTATTCTATCAATTGCAAAAAATGGTTTATTGATTAAAAAAAATTATATAAATAAAATAAATTCTATAACAAAACAAATTCGATAAAAATTAGTTTTCAAAGCCAGAGTTGATGTGAAGCTTAATTTGAACAGGGCGTTGATTTAAACAGATAATAAATTCTGTATAAAATAGTTTTCAAAGGATCAACTAGATCTTACTCAATAGCTTATACGCTGAGCCATGTGAAGTAAATTAATATATGACTTTATATCGAGCTAAACCTATTTCTAAAGGGCTTAATCGAATAAAATTGTAACCCTGCTGGTGCTGGGCATTGGTGTTATGTCATCAACATGTTAACCACTCGATGACAGCTGAACCCACCTACGAGCTGGGCATCGGAGTCGTCCAGCAGCTGCGGCAGGTGCTGGAAGATAGGCTTGTGCTTCTTGCAGCTCTTGTAGAGCTCGTGCAGCGTCTCGCTGACGTCCTGGTTGGAGGGGTCGTAGGTGTCCAGCATCTGGTTAAGCAGCTGCATCGTCTCCTGCACCTCGCTAAGGACCAGACGGTGCTGGGCCAGTAGATCGTTGCGGCGGGCTTCTTGGGCCATCCTGTACTGCAGCAGCAGGTTGGCCCGCTTGAAGTTTTCCGGATTGTTGCTCTTGATCAGCTTGGCGAACATGGCCTCGTCGATGGTGCCCAGGACACTCTCCCTCTTGGCCACCGCCGCCTCCGTTGTGCCGTGCTCAATGTCGCCCTCCTTGCGCAGCATATCGTAGGCATCGCGAATCTTCTGGCGCTGCGGAAACTCGGTGGTCCACAGCAGCAGGCACTCCATGATCCGCTGCTTCACCTCGTGCGGCGTCTCGGCGCCCTTGTACTTCTTGGACACCAGGCGTATCAGCTCGTTGAGGAACCGGAACTTGGCGGCCTCGTCCTGGAAGACATCGCCGCACTGCGTCATGCATTCCTCCAGCAGCTGAAAGCGATTAATAAATATAAATATTATTAAATTTCATATATGTTACCAACATTTTAAAGTAAATTTCATGTATATTTATATATTTCCTTGATTTAAACCTAATTTAAAGGTGATAGGTGATTTGGAAAACATTTTAAACAATTACTTATTATTGTCGTTAAGAATAATGTGAAAACTAGATAAATAATATTATTAAAACAGAGAAAATTCCTCCAGCAACTAAAAGAGTTTGATATCTATGATTAATTTAAATATATAACCAAAATTTGTAGGTATTTTTTATATATTTAAAGTTGAAGTTATTTTATGAGGCTTAGTACTTCATAATGTACGAATATTTTTAGTGTTTTAGTATCTGATAAATTATATATACATATTACTAATCTTAAATAGTAATAAGATATGTTATTTATTAAGTCGCTTATATACAAAAAACCAAACATAAATAGTAACAGATATATTTATAAGTTATGGACCTACTTGTTGATAAAGAAAAGCATAATTTAATAAATAAAGTAAGAGCTAGAGAAACTGACTTTTGAAAATAAAAGTGTATTATTACAAGTGATCAATTAAATGCATTTAATGCATTAATGGCATTTTTAATAAACGAGTAGCAACAAAGCAAGTAAAACGAACCTGACATGTGAAAATACCACTAACTGTTGCATATTATTTTAGCTGTATTTGTTCAATACATTTTGGCCACAATTGATAACAATTATTGTATTTGCGAATGGAAGGCAGCCACACAAGTGCGTGTGTGTGTTTGTTGCTGTTTGTGTTTGTGTTTGTGCTGTGAGCTTTTTGCCAACTTTACGGCCCACTGTGCGTCGGTGTGCCGGCAATGATTATATGTGTGTGTGTTGGGTTTTATTTTTTCCCCCACACAAACACACACACAATACACCCCTTTACCGTTAGTGGACAGTGGGTGGTGTGGGAGGGGAATCTATGGAATATGTGTGTGTAGCAAAATGTTGGTGAAAAAAAAAAGTATAACTCACCGAAATCGCTCGAGTTGCCTCCGTCACATTGGTAGATTGCACCTTGGCCACAATCATTTCCTGGGCCTTGTGGACCAATTGTGCATTACTTTTCACCACAATGCAGAACATTTGCACGCCCAATTCGTCGATTTTCTTTGCCGGATTTGTTGCTCTTTCTGCGAATGAGTAAGAGATCGAGATCCATGGGTTTTTGGAATGATTGAAGTACTTGGGGGAATTCTTACCCAGCATCTCCTCCATTATGCTCTCGTCGGTTGTCATTTTAGCGTTTATTACAATTAGTTACAATTATTAACTGGGGGATAAACAATATTTGCGGTGATTTCGAACAACAGACATGTTGTTGTTGTCGCCAGCCAGTGTGGACAGAGTGCGTGCTCTTAAAAATACCACAGGGGCGTTCTCTGTAGAAAAAATACCATTAATGGCGTTGCCACATTTGAGCAGCGCTGCCATCTTGACCCGCGAGACCAACCAACATTGCCACTTTTATTTCTTGGGTCGAGCGTTATATTTTGAAAGTCACCTTTTTTCCAACGCAATGAAACTTTGTTGAAATTCAACTGAAAAACCTTAAAAAATCAATGCTAATTATTTTTAAAACAAAAAAAATCATGGTCACAAAAACTTTAAGTTTATTTTTTAGGTTTAATTTTGGTTTTTACAATTTGTATTTAAAACTGGTGGGATAATAGTTGTCATTTGAGTTGCATATAAGTCTTAAATAATTTAATCTCTAAAAATAATGATTATTTTGTGAGTTCTATTTTTAGTTTTACAAACAACTCTTGACTTGGTCAACTTAATTATTTGTGGTACCATATCATCCTTTATAACTTTTTGGAAGCCCTTTTGTTTTCTGTATTTGGTATTTTATATTAGGAAAACTGTAGTAGGTCTCTGCTCTAAAAATAAATCCAGCCAGAATGTCAGAAATTAAGTGCCATAAGCAGTAAAAATGCAGTTAATAGTTATTACAAACACAAGCGCTGCTTGCATACATACATGGATACAAACA